AAGGGTGTCTTTGAAGAAATTTAAGCAGTGGACATGATGAAATTTAGAGTTTAGAAAGATCACTCTGGCAGCTTTGTGGAAAACCATTTATAGAGTTGAGATTAATTAATTAAACCATTAATAAGGAGGCAGTGTGATTGGTTAGGAACTGTTGTAATCCGGGTAAGAAATAATTTCCTGAATTACAGCATGGATAATGAGAATGATGAAAGAATTAACATGATAAATAGTTGGGAAGCAATCTTTACAGGATTTAATGACCAACTGGGTGAAGAAGGGTCAAAGATGGAAACTCCCAAACCTCAGTAGTTTGATAAAAAAAGATTATTTCTTCTGGTGAACTGGTGGGGTGGGAAACTCTACTCATTGATTTTACTCACTCTGGGATGAAGTTAATAATCAGTTACCCATCTCTTGAAGGTTGTTGGTCTCTTTGGCAAAGGAAAAGAGCCAAGCAATGACCCTTAAAGCTAGTGAGTAGTGACACGTCAATTCTGCTCATATTTAATTGGCCAGAGCAAGTTTTGTGGCCACACCTATCTTCAAGGAACAAAGAAATGGAATTTTACCATTTAGCCAGAGGAGATTTGGAAATATTTGGTCAACAGAACTAATGAAGATCACATTAGTGACTTTTCAGGTTTCTGATTTGGGTAGTGTGATTGTATCTTTAACTGAGATATAAAGTATAGGACAAAGGGCAGGATTGGTGAAGAAGGAGGATGATGAATTTAATTTTAGACTCAATAAGTAGTGGAGCCTTTTACCATCAGGGTGTAATATTTCAGCAGTTGCTTGGATCTGGGAGTGTAGAGCTCAGGAGAGGCCTAAATTGGTGGTGTGGTAGTGTCAAGTGAGTTAAGTCTGGATGTGAACGTTTTCACCTCAGTGACTAATACAAAGTACTGGACTTAGATGTTGAGTGGGGAGGATTGTTGAAGTGCGCTGACCTGAAGCTCTGATTGGATAGATTTACACAGGACTGAATTGTGTTTGGTTGGGTGAGAATGAGAGTTTTATTTTTATTTTTGCAACTTCAATTAACCTGACAGTTATATTAATAATAATATGAACAATTTCAAGTTCTAAATGCAAATATATTTTATTACCACAGTGTTTGCTTAACAGTATAAATACGTATATTTAACCATTGTAAAGACAGATCTATTGCTATATGTGAAAGATTTAACGATTTTTTAAAAATGATGCATATTTGTGGAATTATTAATCGTACATTAAAATGGTTTTAAAATTCTTGATTATAGTTGAATAGTTAAGGTTGAGTTGAATGATGAGATATTGAGTTAGATGATTAAACTTTGAAGTCCCATCTTTGCCATTTAGTAGGTCTAGAATTATGGTGACTTCTTTGATCCATTTTGTAAACTAAATTATTGATACTGCACATGGCATATATGATATTTTTTCAGTGATCTCCCTTCTGTTTTAATGTCAAAATTTGATGTTTTAAAGGATTGTATATACATTTATGTATTAGATATATATTTAGTTTGGGTCTTTTTGTTCTTGCTAAAAACAATTACAGACTTTAATTGAAAGTAATTAGACATCCTGACAAAATCATCCACGAGGATAGTACATTTTAGAATCTGACAGGATGAATTCATAGTATGGAAAAGTGCTTTCATATATGCTGGCTGTTTCCTTTCCAGTATAGGTCTTCCTAGATTGAACTGACTCTAGTAGGATTTACTGGAGTCTATTCTCATTTGTATATAAAATGTGTAAAATTTTGTCTGTCAAATCTTTGTCTGGAAAAATCACAATGCTGCCTTGTCTGAAGCAGTCTAGTGTATGCAAAAGATCTTAACTTTAATTTCGTGCTGCCTGATTGTTTCTAAGACTTGTGAAGTTTTTAGTGATCTCTAAAACCCAAGGAATCACATCAGGAAGGTTGGGAAGTAGTTACAAAATTTGAAGACTTGATAATTGGGACTTTTGTAAAGGGACTTTGCCTGTCAGTGATGATGCATTGGTTGAACATCTCTGGGTTAAATAGTGTTTTCATATTTCACTCAGATTAAGAATTCATTCATTTATGGTATGGGTGAATGTTGAGCTGTATGTGCAACTAAGTGTTGTGCATTTGGAACCATGATAAGATTGTCTATCGATACTTAAAAAAAAATCATTTTAAATTTCAAGTTTTTACAAATAACACAATAAGGCTATCTAGATTGTCTTCTGTCTTTGCAGACAAATCACCATTAAAAGACTGTTTTGCTATCATGTCCTATTGGTCATTCACAACAAAAATTCTTAAGTCTTGTTTGTGTAAGATTATATGAAGATCAAAGAAAGAACTTTTAAGTGAAAATGACAAAACCAAGCAAATGTTTATTAGTGCAATTGTTTTTCTTTTTATCTTGCAGCAACGCACCTCTTGCTTTTTCTTCCAAAGTATGTTATGTTAAGTTTCGTGATCCATCAAGTGTTGGCGTGGCCCAGCATCTAACTAACACGGTTTTTATTGACAGAGCTCTGATAGTTGTTCCATGTGCAGAAGGTTGGTATCTCACTTTTTCTTTTCCAGTTATTTTAACCTCTGTCCTGTCTGTTACTACCTTTGGTTTTCTTAAAATTGCCAGGCAGTATGGGTGGGTATGTAAGTAGAATGAAATTTGGAAAAGGAAATAATTTTTACCTAATAATAAAATATTTTAAAATGGTTATTTATGTACATTTGAGATTTTGTAGATAAATGTTTAAAAAATTCATAAATTACTTGGTTTCCCTGGTTTGGTTTGGCTCTTTGTAGTCAATTTGTAACTTGTAAAGAAAGCTTTCTGAAATTAAAAATATATTAAATTTGTAGTGGAAATTATTTTAAATATGTAAATAAGCACTTACCCTCTGTGTATACAATACTAATGATATTACATAAATAAAAACTGCACATTTTGTCAAATTGGAGTTAAGTGATATTTATAAGAAAAATATTCATAATTTAAAGTATCCTTTTAAGGTAATTTGCCTTGTAACTGAGACACTTATTTCATATTCAGTGTAGTTGTTTGCTCTGCAACTGGAATTTACTTATTTGACATTTTTGGGTCTTTTTGTTCTTGCTAAAAACAGTTACAGACTTTAATTGAAAGTAATTATGGACATCCTGACAAAGTGATCATCCACGAAGATAGTACATTTTAGAATAATTGAAGAAAAATCACAGAAAGCTATTTTCCAAAGCCTCCATCAAGTAAATAGTTGTTGAAGATGGGAACAAGGCCAAATTTATTGAATAAATTTTATGACTTAATTTGCTTTAGGAACTAATTATTACTAATACTTATTTTTTAGTAATTTATATTTGCAGAGCCACTCATATAATAGGCTGTGCCGAATTTGACAATTCTGATATGTTAATTAACTTCTGTTCAGAGTGCTGACTATGGCATATGTACCTGGATTTTCGAATTGGGTTATTCCAAGTTAAATGTCTTCAAAATATATTTTCACTGGTGAATGGTGGTAACTTGTTTTATAACATAAAAGATTTACCTCAAATGATTTAATGAGCTTTCATATGTAGTACTTAAAAATCTGTTTTAGAAACCAGGTTAATACTAAAATATATATAATAAACAGTTCGCTGCACTTTCAGAGTTTTATGCTTATTTCAGAATGCCTATTCTGGGATGTCAAAAAATATAACAGTTAGATGAAGTGAGTACCATTCTGTTATTTTTGAAGTCCCAGAAGAGGATATTCTGAATTTTTTTTCGTATAAATTTGTGTTTTTCCCATGCCTGCGAGTTTGAGTAAGGAAGGGAGAATAAAAATGGATTAAAGTTAATGGTATGCTAAGTCTATCTTTATCTATTGATCTGTAAGGGAACAATAAGCCCAAATTTGGAGAGCAAGGTGAGAAAAGAGCTTAATGATTTAGTTGTGCATACCTAGGCCATACCAGTCCATACCAAGTGAACTGCAAGGGAGAAAAGAGATCAAGTAGAAAACTTATTAAATGGGAATATTAATTATATCAGAAAATTGTGCTACCAGGTGCCGAGGATCTTGTCTTTTGTCAGCTCATTATTTCAATTTGAATTTTCAGTGTTGCTTTATTGGAACCTTGCTATATTCCCATAGAATTTTTATATATATGAGAAGCCCTGACCATGGTGTGTCGTAAATGTTCAAGGTTTTGGGCATATTGAGGTTCCTTACTTTAGATAGAGATGAATAAATGCACATTTATTATGACAGCTTTTGAATATTTTAAATATTTGAGATAGTTTTACTACTTCTGAACAAGAAAATTTACACATTTTTATTACAATTGTAAGTATTTTAGAATACTAACCTATAAATAATTGTTATTAAAAATATATTTTTCATTAAACTAAATAGAAGAGATGAATTTTAGAACCTAAAGAATGTCAGTGAGCTGATTATGCCCTGCAAGCAAAGTAAAAACATATAATTCTGAGAAAGATAGCAAAGTGAGTTTGAAGTATATCAAAGGCAAGAGTTGCAGTGGAGTGAGTTCTACAAAAGGAGATGTGTTGTGCTACTGTAAGCACTGTTTACTTCACTGATTGTACTCTTTCCTGATGTCATAGGAACAGCATTATGAAGGAAATGAGAAAACAATAGAAAAATTTTGAGACAGTTTTTCATTTCCTCTTAATTTGCTGTTTTTGTAATGCAGACATTGTGAGACGAAGCTAAGGTGTATAATGTTTGATATGTAATGTTCACATATATATAAAGCATTAGCTAGTTTTAATAAAACAAGCCATTTCAATATACTGTCATTATATTTGTCCAAATATAACCTCTTTTTGTAGAGTGCATCTCAGATTTCTTTTTATAAATGTTAACACTTAGAAAAAGATATGGTCAAACATAACAAGGGTGTCAACCTAATCATCAGTCATAACTTTATGTCCACATTTTCTGGTAGATGGATTTTGATTATTAATTTGGTTTTGTATGTTTTCTCTATGTGATATTTGTGCACTATTAGATGACTAGACTGGCCAAGGCAGACCTGTTACACTTGCCTGAGTTAGGCATTGTTTGCCATGCCACTAAACCTGCCGTCAAGTGAAACCTTCATTGGGGAAATGAGATCGGAGTCTGAACCGCAGAAGATGGACGCCCTGTCTCTGTTTTTTATTGTTTTACTTTAATTTCATTTCTTTTTCTTTATTTTGTCCCTTTTTTTGTTTTTGTTTTTGTTTTTGTTTTGTTAAATCTCTTTCACTTTAACTTGTGAACTGGTTTTCCAGTTCTTTATAAATGGTATTCCATTAAAGGTTCATAACATTGCACTGCAAAGTATATTGGGAGGTGATTATCAGAGCTCAATCTTAAGATAAATTTTCACAGTAAATTAGGATACAGTATTATGAAGTGCAGTTTGAGTCTTAATTTGTGTTTTATCGACTGATCAGGTACATTTTATTCTTGAAACCCTAAACCACTGATACGTCTTAGGAACACTTTTTGATCGCAGGGCAGCAGTTTTTTAGTTTTTCCTCCAAGTTGGCATCTCTCATAAAAACCAACTGGTAGCTTCTAATTTTCATCCTTCCCCCTAGTATTTTAGGCATACAAAATCATCAAGGAAAAAAGTAAATTTCTTAGTAACAATCTGGGGCTAGAGGACAAGAATAGACTTTCTCACTTTATGATAGTCATTAAAAAAAATAAACTATTTTCTTGACTCAATAAAGAATTTTAGTTGCCTAGCGGGGAATGGATATTTGAGAAACTTGAATACATATTTGCCTGTGTGTTCCTCTGAATTTTTTGTTGAAAATTTTTCAGAGATTACTAGCTTCTAAATGGATTCAGAGATTAGGACTAGTACTTTAATACTGTGAGAGATGTTTTTACTGCCAGTTGTCTTTGAGGAGTATAGTTTGGGAAAAATGTTAAATGCTTATTTGTTTTATACTTGTATACACTCAGTATTTGGAGGGTAAATTTGATAGAATTCTATGTTGGAAATTAAGCAATAGAACTTTTTTCTTAAATTATCTTTAATCGTAATTAGAATATGAAAAATGTGCTTACAGTTAGACTTCAATATAATAGTTCATTACTACTGTAGGAGGCAGTGAGAGTCAGACAACCTACTGGTACTTTTTCTAAGCCAAAATTGAAAGACTTTATAATAGTAAGTATATTCAACTTTTGGCCTGTGTTGAATGCCCTTTTTATTTAGTCTTTTTACACTGTCTTGAATGGATAACTTCGCTTATTCAATTGGCAGATAATACTAAATTGGGGACATTACTGGAGTGGAACTCTTAAGTTTTTTAGGTGTGTAAAATAGGGTAGCTTCTCAGGACCTCAGTTGATTTATCAAAATCTGTTCAGGTTTTACAAACATTTACAAAATAATACCTCATTATAAAACAGGTCTGATAGCAATACAAATAGTATAGTATATGTGTATACAAATACATGTGTTAATACTAATAACTAATAATATAAACTAAATTGTTATTTGATATCTTCAGTAAGGCCTACCTACTTTTTATTTATGCATGTTAAAAAATCTGTATAATAAAATAGCATTGTTTTTGAAATGAGTAAAATAATACAGGTGTAGATGTTGGAAAGCTTTAGAAAAAGTAGGCATTTGCTAAAGCTAATACAATGTTAATTTTTCTGTTTGTATAAATGAGGTGTAACAATTTAAATCAAGTTTTAAAATCCATCTTGAATTCCATCATGTTTAGAGATACTCAGATAATGTTTAGAGGTTTATCCCTGCACATCTGGTTGTTTTAAATAGAATTTTTACCAGTAAAACTCAGCATGGTGCTTTAAATTTACTCCATATGCTATTTCCTATTTAGTTTTGACTTGTATACTGTGTTTTAAAGTACTTTTGAAAATTTCATAATAGAAATGTGTAGCTAACTACCCCATAATTATGAGTAGTTCTTTTAAAAAAGTTGTACATGTAAGCTTTTTTCATTTTTAGTTATAGGGAATCTTTCTTCTTAGCATCTAAGATTATTTTAGTGTTTTGTTGTTGATAATAGGCAACTAAGATGTTTATAAGCAAGACACTGAGGCATTAACTACCCCTCTTCAGATAAGTATACATAAATCGGTTCTAAAAGTCATTGGATTAAAAAGTTTCCCGAGACTAGGGAACTATTTTTAGTCATTCCCCAAAATGTTAGGTGTTTCCCAAGGCATATCCTTTGGAATGGGATTCTTACAGGCATCTCTGATGTTGGTGAGATGCCTTATTAACTGAGTGGATTGTAGGCTTCTTTTTATATTGAAGCTGATTATGTGCAGTAGGCTTTTGTATTTTAGTCTACTTGAATGGAATCTATTGGAAGATTATCAAAATTGTTTGCATCACAAATAGGTAGTTTTAGTAACAGGATAGGGACAGTCAGGAAAGGAACAAATTTCAATTCGCACATATTTGTTTTTTCTTTTTCTTTTTTTTGACTAATTTGGTTATTTGCCATTTCTGGGGATTAAACTTTAAAAAATGTTCTTCTTTTCTGTATCTGATGTTCTGTGTGCTATTAGTGATGCAGCCAACACGAACGGTTGTCATGTGTAACACAACTTTCGATCACCGCGAAAACACCGTCCTGGGAAAGCGTCCATGCTTGATATCGTTTGGTTCATGAACATTAAGTTTCCAGTACAGGTGACCCATAGCTCAAAGTGTTAAATAATTGTCTACATTATTCAGTTTTTAAAATAATATTCCATTAATGAGATTGTTAGTCTTTGAAGTTTTACTCACTTTTACTTTTCCTAGTAGAACAGGATATAAGGAAAGACTTAAGTTCTTATTTATTTCTTTGTACGGATCTGATAGATAGATTCATTTATTATTATTATTTTTTAAGTGCAAGGGTAAATGTAAGATCATAGTGTAAAGTTTGTGTGGTGTTTCTGCTTTCTGTAATGTTTGGAACTTGCCTCTGCAGGTAAAATTCCAGAGGAATCCAAAGCCCTTTCTTTATTGGCTCCTGCTCCAACCATGACAAGTCTGATGCCTGGTGCAGGCTTGCTTCCCATACCGACCCCAAACCCCTTGACGACAGTAAGTGCCATGTGCCCTCTTCTAAAAGGGCTAACAACAGTATAATCATTTGAATAAAGAGATTAGAAAATTACTTGCTTTCAATACTTGTTTAAATGGAGAGAATTGATAATGTCTACTTAATTTTTTTTTTTTATGTTATGTTACAGCTGAATAACAAAATTGCCTTTTTGAATTACTTCAGAAGCAATTGGGGATTCATTAGAAGACATTGTTATTTAGAAAATCAGTTATTAACACTCAGCATTTTAGATAGAATGGAGGATTGACGAGTCTAGGTAACTATTTCTTGGCTCATGAGGGCTAAATCCATTAAATATGAAATGATCCATAGCCTTGGTAATGTTAAAAAATATCTCAGAGAAGCATTTGTCTGATACTGAGAAAATATAACAAGGTAAAATCATAGCAAAAATGTTTTTTCATTAACTGTGCAACTTAATAATAATTAATGCCTGTTATTTAATTCTAGGTGAGGTTAAAAAGTGTTTTAGTGTTATGGGCTCTTGGTTTTTATTTAAAAGGTTCTGGTTGCACTTACTTTAATGAAGCGTCGTTTTTCTTCATATATAATCCCAAGATAAAATGCAAAACTTGTATCCAACTTTGTGGTACATTGTATATCTGGCTTTGTACATTTGTATATCTAGCTTTGTGATAGATTATGAGGAAGTGAACTAATAAAACTTTATGATTGTAGTTAATTTATCCAAGACCTAAAAGTGATTTCTGAAACTTTGAAGTGCAAAATTTTAGGTCTTAAGTTTTGCATGACCTGCATTGTATTCCATGGTGGGACAGTACTGCTGAATTGAATATTTTTGATCGTTGGGCTTTCTGTGTATTATGGTATATTTTCGGTGTATTATGATATATTTTAACATATTCCTGTATCACCACCTTTTTTCCAGGAAATACTGTCTTGCTGTCTTGAAAACTCTAGGGTTTATTTAGCAACAATATGGAGTTTTTATTACTTAATTTGTTGCTTTGAGGGGAAATGGTTTCCTCTTAATTCAGCTGTAGATATATCTATTATTGTAAAACTTAATTTATGAAGAAGAATTTCAGTTACAAAATAGGAAAGTTGACCCATTGTGATATCTCCCGGCTACCTCTTTGACCTTTCTTTCTGCTTGTTTCCTTGCCTTACTCTACTTCAACCGTACTTGTTTTGTTGTTTTTTGGACGTACTTCATACTTATTCATCTGCCTAGAACATTCCTGGCCTTGAAAAAGCTCACTCTTTGACAAGAGTGAAACCTTTTCATAAGGTTCCTACTTAAAAGTCACATTCTTAGGGTGGCTAGGGTTTGTATGTCAGAAGGTAAAAGTGTTGTATCTGGAGTCCAGATTATCTTTAATCCATCAAAGACTAAAAGGGCAACTAAATACTAGACCCAGGCTAGAAAATAGACCAATCTGAAGAAGGGTAATTGTATTGTTAGAGAGCAGCCACATCCAATAGAACTTTCTGCTATGATGGAAATGTCTGCCTCTAGTATTGCATATATAGCCAGTAGCAGCGGGTGGCTATTGAGCACTAATTTATTTAATTAAAACTCAAATAGCCATCTGTGATTAGTGACTACTGTGTTAAATAGCACGGTACTGAAGAATGGTAACACCAAAAGAAGAGAGACAGGAAACTTTTCCAAAAGAGAATTGAGTGAGCTCTAAGTTAAAAAAAAAAGGGTTTGGATTGGGTGATTTGAAAAAGCCATTTCCAGATTTATATGTATATGTATGTATTTCTCCCAGTGGAGAAGTTTACAGGTCAAGGGATTGACAACTGGGAATACCTGGAAAAGCATGTTAAATGCTGTAAATCCATGCAAAACTAACAAATAATAAGGCTCATATTTGTGATTTAGCTTACTATATAATAATTCTGTTGCACAGTAAAAAGAAATTTAAGGTATATCCCTCAATCATCTATGTACCTTATTCCATTAAAGACAGGAGTGGGGAAAGAGTGTGGTTGCAGAAACAAAATGTGGAGAGAGGAGGGGCTCATACGATGGTAGCCTTGACTCAGATCTTGCATCGATTTTGATCTAAAGTGTTTTCTGCAACTATGATAACTTGGAGTGGTGAGAGAGCAACAAGTCTATCAGACTTGATAAAAGATATTAAGAGAAATAAGCCAGGCAGAGAAAGACAATTATCAAATGATTTCCCTCATTTGTGGAGTATAACAACAAAGCAAAACTGAAGAAACAAAACAGCAACAGACTCAGAAACTTCAAGAAGGGACTAGGGGAGGGTGGGGGAGGGAAAAGGGGATTGAGGGGTATTATGTTTGGTACACATGGTGTGGGGGGAATCGTGGGGAAGACAGTGTAGCACAGAGAAGACAAGTAGTGACTCTGTAGCATCTTACTACACTGGTGGACAGTGTGACTGCAGTGGGGTATAGGGGAGGACTCGATAATATGGGTGAATGTAGTAACTACATTGTTTTTCATGTGAAACCTTCATAATGTATATCAATAATACCTTAATAAAGAAATTGTAATAAAAAAAGATACTAAGAAGCAAGATACCCATATTATAATAAGTACTATGAAAGAAAAAAGCAGTAATATGGAAGAGAATAAATAAGGTTTTACATAAGGTCAGAGAAATCATCTTGGAGGGGGTGATTGATCCAGTGCTTGAAGCATTCATCTGCCTGAAGCTTTCTAGGCAGAAGGAATGCCAAGTGATAAGCCCTAAGGTGGAAAAAACTTGTGTTCAAATTTTCTTGTAGCGAATGGCAGTTGTGTGGTTGAAGAACAGTGAATGAGGGAGAGGGCAGTATGTGTTTTCAGATTGGAGGACTAGATAGGACAGTCGTTCTGTAGAGCTTCTTAGGCCATGGAAAGCCATACAGTTTATTCTAAAAGAATTAGAAGCCATTGATGAGTTTTAATCTAGGGGTAAGATATGATTTGACATGTTTTAGAAAAATCATACACTAGCTGCTGCTACAAGCATTTGTGAAACTAGTTTCATAAACCTATATTTTCACCTTTAGGAATTAGTATTACTGAACAGTTGTTAAGTGTTAGTAGTTATGCAATAGTATAACTATATAGCCAATACTCAAAATTTTCTTAAATTGTATAAATGGAAATGGAGGTTGTGTTTTTTTGTCTTTGGAAGGTCTTTACATTAATTGGACAAAATTTTTCATTTTCAAATTATGAGATCTCCCATCTTTTCTAGTTTAAGTTCACATGAAAAAAAACATGCTTCTTCACAATTGAACTAAAAGCTGTATTTAATACTGTTATGAAACATCATTCAAAAGTTTTTGTCCTTTTCCTACCATTGTATAAGTAAAGGTTTAATATTTTAGTTTCTTTTCTTAGGGAAAGTTTGTCCCTGTTTCAGTTTTAGTCTGTGTATGATGGGATCCTCCTTTGCTACTCAGTAGCTGAGTAGCTTTGGGAAAATTATTTAACTTCTCTTTTTTTTTTTGTCTGTGAAATTGGCATAATAGTAATATTTATGTCTTACAGAGTTAATATGAGGAGTAATTAACAACCCGGCAAGAATGAGGTGCTGTGATTCTTGTTAACGATTAGGCACTCATACAGTTTTGTTGAATGCCCAAGGCACAGTAGATTCTCATTATTTGTGAATTCTGTATTTCTGAGTTCTTGTTTTAGTTCTAATGCTGTAAAAATTGTCCTTCTTGTGGTTTGTTTAGAGCCGCCTTTTTCACACTTTCATGCTTTTTTTTTTGTGGTGATTTCACTGTTTAAATTAGTCCCCAAGTGTAGTATTAAAGTACTGTCTAGTTTTCCTAAGGGCTAAAAGGCTGTGATGTGCTTTGCAGTGAAGATAACGTGTGGTAGATAAGGTTCATTCAGGCATGAGTTGATAGTGCTGCTAGTCATTAAGTTCAGTGTTAATATGTCAACAATATATATTTGAAAAGGTGTCTTTAAACAGAAATGCACATAAAACAAGGTGATGTATTTATCAGTTGACCAGAGGCTCACAGGAACCTAGCCCTGTATTTTCCCTAGAGCAGTGATTCAGTATTCAATAATTTGGTGCTTGTGGCAACTTTCTGGGACATAACTACTGTGAATGCCCAGAATTAACTCTCTGTTATTGTGGCAAATTAAAAGTAGTTAAAATACCCAGATAAGAAAGAGGTTGTATTTTTGATTACATTCAAAACTACTGTGACCTCACTCTGAATAATTCACACATATACCTGGTACAAAGTTAGAAGTCCCTAGTCTCTTCCCATTTTTGTTACCAGTTCTTTTGAGGTAATTTTTGATACTAAGAGCTAATACGTACGTGTTTTCTCTCTCTTTTTATAGTTGGGTGTTTCCCTTAGCAGTTTGGGAGCGATACCAGCAGCAGCCCTAGACCCCAACATGGCAGCACTTGGAGAGATACCACAACCACCACTTATGGGAAATGTTGATCCTTCCAAAATTGACGAAATTAGGAGAACAGTCTATGTTGGCAATTTGAATTCCCAGGTAACTAATTTAAGAAGGAACTGAATGGTAGGACCTCTTACTCTTTTCCCCTTCTTAAAAATCATATTGATTGATAAAGTAATATTTACCTGATTTTTTAAAAAGAATATACTTTATTAAAGTGTTTCTTTATTTCTTCAGACAACAACAGCTGATCAACTGCTTGAATTTTTTAAACAAGTTGGAGAAGTGAAGTTTGTGCGGATGGCAGGTGATGAGACTCAACCAACTCGGTTTGCTTTTGTGGAATTTGCAGACCAAAATTCTGTACCAAGGGCCCTTGCTTTTAATGGAGTTATGTTTGGAGACAGGCCACTGAAGTAAGAAACCCTAAACAAAAAAATTTTAATGATTTTGAAAAAATCTGAAAGCATTTTTTTATGTAATTAAGGCTTTTTTTTTTCTTTTTAATAGTAATTGGCAATTTGTGGAAAGGAAGACTGTGTTAAGTATAAATGAAATACATGAGATACCATTTTTAGCTTTTAAAGTTGTATTTGAAGACTTACTTTCTATTTTTTTATAAGGTCCGATTTAATGTTAACATGATTTACAAACTCTACATAACAATTGCAGGTCATTCTCTATAAGTTTTATCAAGTAGGTTGATTTTGCATTATAACTAGATCAATGGACAATTTAACACATGGGTTGAATTTACAGTAACACAATAATAAGAACTTTGGTATATCCAAAAATCCCAGGAAGAAAATAATACTAAGTTTTTATATTAAGAAAATAATATTAAAACACGTTTTAAATCATACATTTTTGAGTTTTAAGGTTTGCCCACATCCTGTTTGCCAAGTGAAAAATTGATGTAGCCTTTCAAATATTCAAGACTAGTAATTCTATTTCATGTAGATCATTGAGGCATCAGTTTAATCTGATTTCATAGGTAATTCCTTAGCTACATAGTTTGATCAGGATTCTTGGTCAGAAAGATTGAGGATAAATCCCTTTGATTAAAGGATAATCAGTTAATTAAATTATCAGATGCCTCCCACATTTGAAGTTGTGTGTGAGTCACCTGTGATCGAGGGTAGATTAAAATGGTATACATAATATACAGCTTCCTCTTCGTCATCTTAGGGTGCAGAGGTTATCAACAAAATCATAACATTAGAATAGAAATAATTCATTTCAATATTGGTTTCAATGTTTTAATTTATTATAATGCTAAGCTGTATAGAAAAGCATGTCCTGGTCTGTCCAGGTTAAGTCAGGTTTCAGGTTTTCTTTTTTTTTTTTCCCTCCTTATTTTTGGTTTTGTTAGCAAGAAATGATAGCAGTTGGGAATAAGGTTAATCATGGCTTTGAGGTTGGTTTTGTTATCTGTATTTAGCTGTATCAGTCTTAATGTGTTTTTGAGATTTCCTCAGATTTATAAATACGTGTATCGTGAACATTTGTCTCGTGTTTTGTAAAATATGGTGTGTGTTGTGATATGCTGATATTTTTAATTTAGAATAAATCACTCCAACAATGCAATAGTAAAACCCCCTGAGATGACACCTCAGGCTGCAGCTAAGGAGTTAGAAGAAGTAATGAAGCGAGTACGAGAGGCTCAGTCATTTATCTCAGCAGCTATTGAACCAGGTAAGGCCATAGCGTTGTTATATAGGTCATAGTTTAAGATCATAGAATCTTAGAACTGGAAGGAATTTTAGAAATTATCTTGTTTAGTCTCTCCATTTTACAAACAAGAAGACTGAAACTCAAGAAAGAGTAAGTGACTTTCTAGTGTCTAAGGTCAAAGAATTATTACTTAGTGTCTTTTCCCATGATGCTGAGTTGAGGCACATTAGCCTGACTTAATCAGTTCTTTATATTTTAATAGCAAAATCAGAGCTCAAAACTGATTTGCGTAATGCAAAGTATAGATGTTATTGTAAGGCAAAATGAAGAATAAACATATGTAAAATATTATGATTAAGCAGATTCAGTTTCCTTCAAAGCTTATTTTAAAAATAGAAAGGAGAACCCATGATATAGGAAAAGTACAGAGACTGTTTTAACAAAGGAACACCTACTCATACTCTTGTGTTGCTAATTAAAATTTAAAATCCAGTCTAAAAATGTCTAGTTGGTTTACTTTTGAGAAAATTTCCTAAATTAGCACTCAGAATTTAAGCTTCAATTCTAGCAAAATAAATGGAGAAAGGATTTAAATCACTGTCAGGAATTACAGACATGTTATAATCGTACATTATGGCAGCAACAAAATATTACGAACAGCTGTTTATAATTATCTGGTTTATATGTACTGCTGCAGGGTGGCTGCACTCAACGAGTTTATGCAATGACTTTCTTGGATGTTTCTGAAGGATAATTGCACAGGAGGAGGATGTACAGAGAGTAGGCCCCTTGCACTATATGTGGTACATTCCACTTGTGCCTGATTATTAACTGGGATCTTTAATTGTTCTGAGCTTACACTGCAAAGTGGTTTTTTCCTCCCAGAGTCTGGAAAGAGCAATGAAAGAAAAGGCGGTCGATCTCGTTCCCACACTCGTTCAAAATCCAGGTCTAGCTCAAAATCCCATTCTAGAAGGAAAAGATCACAGTCAAAACACAGGTGAGAATTTCTACTGTCATATTTTAATTTTTTCAATTTTGTATTTCTAAGATTTTCTGAGTTTTTGTCTAAATATCATTAGAAATTACAGTAATGTTCATCAGAAAGTATGGTTATTATTAAATCAATAATTAAATATTGTAATTGTAATACTGTAGTTACGAGTGAAATTTTATAACTTATTATGTAATTATTATTTCAAGCAATTTTCAGTTTTAAAAGTTGGTTTCCTATCATAAGATACTCTGATTTTTCTTAGGAGTAAACTGGTCTTTAATACAGAACTTGGAAAAATTTTTTTCTTCATATTGAGAAATGAGAACATGTGTAGTGATGCTGAGAATATTGTTCAAGTTGCAGCTTTTTTTTGTTTGTTTTTTTCCCTCAAGTCTACTCAAGGGCTGAGGAGTACCACCCCACATCTTGGTCTCAAGTAGTTACCTATTTCCAGTACTGTGAGTCAAATGGGGCACTTTAAGTCCTTGGTACTCTGTGGTGTAAGGGCCTCTTCCACCCACTTTGAGACCTGAAGCATTGGGGTAGCTTGCAGCTTTAGCTCCAACTATTGTATCGTGCCTAAGCTCCATTTTTTTTGTGTTTATCTTACTTTTGAACAAGTAATGTCTTTTAGTTTCTTCTTTTTAAATATGTTGTGTTGTGTTTGGAACCAAGAGGGCCAACACCATCTTGACTGGAAAGGCCCTAAGTGTCATGTCTAAAGTGATTTTTATTGTTGTCTTTGAGATGTGAAAATGTACATAGTGAATTTAATTACATGTTACATATATACACATACTCATACATCTAAAGAGAAGAGAAAGCAAAGTGTACGCTTGTGCATGTAGTGTGGTGTGGGAGTATTAGAGGAGGAGGTTTGAGGGGAGGGAAAAAGGAACCAGTGTGCTGTATGTTGACCTCATCAGCAAGCTCAGTTTAATCTTTTTCTGTGATGATCCAGGAGATTGAAACAGTAAGATAGGAAAGTACTGTCTTTGACTTTAGTAAACTCTAGCTTTTACTGGTGCATATTTCTCTGTTAGTCTTAGTTTGCAAAATCTGTTTTGGAGTGGTTTTCCTGTCTTACCTCTTCCAAAGCCTTTCAGTAAGGCAAGTTCAGATCCAAGTGAAGAAAGTTGTTTAATGTACAAGGAATAAGACAGTGCAGCACAAGCCAGGACTGGAGACAGAAAGTGGCATAGAAACGTTACTGGAATGTGGATATTTCTATAGCTTGACAGGGTGTGGTGAAGGTAAAAGAGATCAGAGAATACTGAATTGAGAATTGAGTTGAAGAGTGATAACTTCTTTTCTGAGGGGAAAAAAAGGACCAGTGACCTGGATCTCATCTTGTGTTGATTATAAAAGCCATGCTTCAAATCTAAAACCTTAGTGGTTTTCTAAGGTTGCAAAAACACAAACCTTAATGATTAACAGCATTGTTTCCCTGATAATCTCTGTAATGCTCTGTGTGTTGGGGCACATGATTTAACTGCTGACTTCAACATTTTTGCTTTTAATATTTTAAGCATATTTGGAATTGTCCCTTTAAATGGTTACTGGGGGAAGGATTATTTGGTCTAGAATGAAATTTGTTGATTATTGTTCTAATTCACAGGAGTACTTTCATGTAGGTCTACCTGTGTAGCATTAGAAATTACTTGTTCTTGGCACACACAGATACATGTGTACTCACACCCACATATGTAGTGTGTGTATACTTATGTACCTTTATAAGCATATGCTATTTTTGTACACAGTATATAGAAACACATGTAGCCTTTAATAATAAGTCCATGAAGAAGTAACAAATGAAGTTGAGCTCTGTTTAAGGGGAAAAAAATCTCTTACTCAAAAACATTTGACTTAAGGATCTTGGCATAGGATATTGGCATGGAAGGACTTCCCCTCACACCCTTCCCCCACACCCAGTAGAGGAGGGGGATGGCAGTCGTTTCTTGGCTTCCCTTTCCTGCTATTCATATTTGAATACCCTAAGCTCTGCTCTGACTGCACTAGACTTGTAGGAATGTGCTTTGCAGGAACTTTTGTTCTTAAAGGCTCACCCTCTTCTACCTTCTCAGAATTCTCAGATGCTTCTGGAGCCTTTCCTTTCCCTTCCCTATTCCCTCCCCTTCTTACATTAGGAGGGAAGAAGGAGTTTCTTGTCACTGTGACCTTGGTTAGGGCTGGGGAGATGTGTTTCCACTTTGTCCAAATTTTTATATGTGTTTTTTCTATAGGAACAGTCTTAGAAAAGGTAGGTAGTATTATGATTAGCCTATTAAAGTTAAGTAACCTTTACCACACCAGCATAGGAACTATAAGGTATTTTATAATATTTTAATGGAAACAAATGACTTACAAATGATCTTTGATGCAACATAACAGTAAGTTGTCCTTTATGTGTAACTTAATTTATAAACGTAGTTTTGCACATTATGCTAAAATGAGACAGCAGTGGTAACTTCAACCTTTATCTTTGGTTGGATTAGATTTGCTCTTGAGGAAGCTGTTAGCATTCTTATTGAGAGAACTTAGTAGGCAACTAGCAGATAAGATAGAGATGTGAAAATACTTAACATCAAAATTAAAATACAGTAATTACTCTTGGGCAGTGACTTTCAAACTCTGAGGACCGCCCAGCTAAGGTGGAAGCTGAACAACCGGTGCTCTTTATTAACTTTCAATTATTAGGGCTATGCTTAAACTTTTAAACAGAGTTTTCTTTGCTTAAATTAAGGTAGAGAAGCACTGTTCAACAAAAACAAAATTGTTATTTGTATTTTGAACAAGGTTAACTGAACAGAAATGCTAAGACTTTTTAGTAAGTACGTAGAAACAAAGGCCTTTTAAATCATGACCCTTATGTTGATGTCTGTGAATGGATTAAAAATGTTCTAAATTTTGCTTTAATACCTACTTGACCCTTGTATCTCTTAGGTTATTAGTGATAAAGAGTTTAACAAACTGAATTATCTTCTTGTATTAAAAATATTGTTTAAAATTAATGCATAATTTTTAAAGCCATAGAGTAGATCAGTGGTTCAGTTGAAAATTAGCTGTTAGAAACAAAATTTTTACTACTGAAAAATGTGTTTAAAAAACATGTGTCATTATTAGTTGAGGATTGCTTGGAGATTTTTCTGGTTTAAATAGCATACTAAGCATTTAACTATATATTTCTTCTGTAAGGATTTGTTTTAATTTATGAAAGCATGACTATCAAGATGAGTTTTCATTATGTAAAGGCATACTTGTGGAAGTTCACTGGACTTTCTTGGAAAAAATAAAGATATAATTTAAAGATTTTATTTATGTTAATTGTTGATGATGGTGATGATGATGGTGAGAGTTAAAGGAGTTTTAAGCATTTACTCTGTGCCAGAGATTGCTAGGCAATTTTCCATACATTATCTGACTTAATGCTCATGGTAGTACTAGAATATGTAGGTGTGATTCTTGCTCCACTTTATAGAATAAGAAACGCAGGTTTAGGTTAAGTGACTAGCCAGACTTCTCACAGCTAGTATGTGCCAGAGCTGAGTGTCAGCCAGATTGTCTGATTCCAAAGCTGGTGAGTCTTATAACTTTGTTATTTAAGTTGCGTGCATTTGTTTTAATATAATACTTCTGAGATACATCATTTTGAAAAAAATCACATTATATAAGCAATTTCAATGGGAAAAAGGAACCTAGAGAATTTCAGAATTGAAATAAGTTATTTTTCCTGCTAGAATTTCAGTAATAAAGATTTCTTTCTATAGCTGTAAAATCAAGGCCTTTCCAGTCCCACATTGGGGTATGTCTAGCTTTAACTCATGAGTAATATTTATTTTACTGTCACCCTAGCACTGTCATGGTATTTTGCTTCCTTAAGCATTTAAAAAAAATATGTGTTAAAACAAACAGCACACAGCCATTTATAGAAACTATTTAACTATATAATAACCACTACTCCCTGTCAAGAAGTATAACCACAAGCAGTCATATTACATACAAATCAAGAGTTAAAAGTAATTTATGGTATGAAAACTTGGGCCATAGAGAAGTCTGCTATCCTAATTAAGGCTTATAATATTTAACAAAAGAAAGCCATACCTGAAAATACCAACTTAAGTCTGACAGAAAATAAACAGAAAGCTCTGTTCCTGTGTTCTGGACAGTGAACTACTTGGTAAAGTTTGATTACATAACAGAATTTTTAAATATAAATATTTGTCAGGATAGGTTTTAAAATTTTATTATTTGAAAGACATCTTAAATTTTTAAAAGTTGAAATTCTAAGAATAAGTTTTGATGTTCTAACAATTTGTTTTTCTTCAGGAGTAGATCCCATAATAGATCACGCTCAAGACAAAAAGATAGACGTAGATCTAAGAGCCCACATAAAAAACGCTCTAAATCAAGGGAGAGGCGGAAGTCAAGGAGTCGTTCTCATTCACGGTGAGTCTGATAAATTAAGGGTAAATTTTTCATGGCTTCATTTGTTAAAAATCTGTTGTGGGTTAAGATTTTTAGTGAGAGAAATTAAACTTTTTTCTGACTTTTTTTTTTTAGTAATGATTAAAACTGATTGTCATTGATTTGAATCTAATTATAATCATTATGACTCTTGAGGTTTCCAAACTGCTTAATTCAGCTTGGTTAACTGATTTATCAGCTTCATGTACACCTGAGTTAAGTAGAAATTTATATGCAATATCTTATTGCTATTATAAATTTTTTTGTGTTGATAATTGTTGAGGAAAGAGAGGGAGGTCCTTTTTGGTGGTTAGAATTATTTTAGTTTGAATTTATTTATTTTTGTTTTGTTTTTAAAGGGACAAGAGAAAAGACACCCGAGAAAAGATCAAGGAGAAGGAAAAAGTGAAAGAAAAAGATAGAGAAAAGGAGAGGGAAAAAGAGAGAGACAGGGAAAAAGAACGTGAAAAAGAAAAGGAACGGGGTAAAAACAAAGATAAGGACCGAGATAAAGAACGGGAAAAGGACCGGGATAAAGACAAGGAAAAGGACAGAGAGAGAGAGCGGGAAAAAGAGCATGAAAAGGAGCGAGACAAAGAGAAGGAAAAGGAACCTGACAAAGAAAAGGAACGAGAAAAGGACAGATCTAAAGAGGCAGATGAGAAAAGAAAGAAGGATAAGAAACCCAGAACGCCGCCCAGAAGTTACAATGCATCAAGAAGATCCCGTAGTTCCAGCAGGTTTGATAATGCTTACAATTTTTACCAAGGACTGACTGATGACAAATGAAAATATAAACTTTAACTGAGGGGTGGGGGGAAGATTACTGTGCACAAGTGGAATCAGTACAGTAATATTAGACATTTCCCTTAGTTTTTACAGAGTGAACATTTCTTTAGAAGGATTCCTGTATATGTAGCATTGAACCTGAGGAGGAAGAGATGAAAATTGGGCAGAATTATTTGAGAAGTTCTAATTGTCCTTTATAATTCACTGTTTTAACCTGGTGGTTGTGGCAGTGGTAGCTGCTTTTGCTGATTTTCTTGGTAGGTGGGATAGCAGGGGCAAGGTTGTTTTTGTTTTTGTTTTTGTTTGTTAATACAGACGAATTGGCCTCTGAGGCTTCTATGTTTATTTGGAATGGTGTGGTAAATTTTAATATGGAAGTGATTTCTAAAGTTTTGCAGTGTTAGTCCTTTTTATCATCTATGTTAATTTTTACTGCTGAATTTTGCTGAGTACATGACATTGAAATTTGGTTTTCAATTCATAAGTTTTGAAGTTTTGCCTTTTTTTAAGAACTATTCCCGCAGTTTATTAACAGGTACGTTGCCACCAGGTGGCAGCAGGTTGCTATAGTAACAGCTGCAAATGAGGACCTTTGAAGATTTTCTAAACCTATATTCTTGACTCCAGATGATACCATGACTATAAATAAGTGGAAGTTCCTAATTTCTTTTAAGCTATATCTTAAAAATGTTAAAAAATAGTTTTAGGCAATTTTAAAGATAAAATTTTAAGGATAGTTCGTTCTCACAGAAAATAATATCTAAGACAAAGGAACCTGTATTTTCTACTTAAATTTTATGTTCTAATAATTTATTCTTAATACTAGATTCTAGTCTTTGGTTAGGTAACTGCAGAAGCTTACCGAGTGCTTTACGATTGGCAAGATTTTATGCCTCAGCAGATTTTTCATAACTAACCTTATTTAGTTCTCACAGTAAGCCTGAGAGAAGACTGTTGTTATCATGGTTTTAAAACATGAGGAAACTGGAGCTTAGAGATTTTCCATCTGCTCTGCACTTCAGTATCAGAAGTATGGTAGCTGTTTCTCTTCCTTTTAGAGATTGAGATTAATTGACAATTCTCTAAACCAGTACATGGTACCTGTTTAAATTACCTTAGAAGCATAAAGTTCCAAGCAGCAGTATATAAAGTAGGGCTGAAGATAAACAGTTCACTGCCATATTTCAGCATATTGACCTAAAAACCAAAGAATTAATATAGCTTCATTTGCTGTGGATATCATTTGAGGTACCCTTACTGCACAGCTGTTTTATTAATTGTGTATCACACATTGTGTTGTGTTTCTGTCATCATTTAGTGATTACTCTTCACACCATGAGATAATGTTTGGATTTCTTTTAAGTTTAGTTGAATTCACTTTTTAGCTCTCATCATCATCAACTGGTAGTTATTAGATGGCCATCTGTGCATAGTTCTTCCTGATTATCAAGGCTGAACCATTTTGTGTAAACTTAGAGTGTGGGATATACTGATGTTCTCATTCTTAAAAAAAGTTACTTCTGGTTCTTGTGCTGAGCTATTAGCAGATGACACTGAATGGAATATCTTTATCTAATTTCCACGTTAGGAAGTTTAATTTGGGGTCTTAGAAATAAAATTGGGTAATGGAAGAGAGAGCCTTAGGTGGAGCTGGAATTGATTTGTGTTCTCAAAGTTGTTGATTTTTTTTGCTCTTATTTAATATTTACAACACTTGAGAATAATCTAATTTTTTAAAATTTTGTTATAATTAATCTATAATTACATGAAGAACATTATGTTTGCTAGGCTCCTCCCTTCACCAAGTCCCCCCCACAAACCCCATTACAGTCACTGTCCATTAGCGTAGTAAGATGCTGTAGAAGACACTACTGGTCTTTGTGTTGCACAACCCTCCCCATGCACACCCCCACCACATTATACATGCTAATCGTAATGCCCCCTTTCTTTTTCTGTTCCCTGATCCCTCCCTTCCCACCCATCCTCCCCAGTCCCTTTCCTTTTGGTAACTGTTAGTCCATTCTTGGGTTCTGTGATACTGCTGCTGTTTTGTTCCTTCAGTTTTTCTTTTTTCTTATACTCCACATGTGAGTGAAATCATTTGGTACTTGTCGTTCTCTGACTGGCTTATTTCACTGAGCATACTACCCTCTAGCTCCATCCATGTTGTTGCAAATGGTAAGATTTGTTTTCTTCTTAAGGCTGAATAATATTCCATTGTGTATATGTACCACATCTTTTTTATCCATTCATCTACTGATGGACACTTAGGTTGCTTCCATTTCTTGGCTATTGTAAATAGTGCTGCGATAAACATAGGGGTGTATCTGTCTTTTTCAAACTGGGCTGCTGCATTCGTAGGGTAAATTCCTAGAAGTGGAATTCCTGGGTCAAATGGTATTTCCATTTTTAGTTTTTTGAGGAACATCCATACTGCTTTCCACAATGATTGAACTAATTTACATTCCCACCAGCAGTGTAGGAGGGTTCCCCTTTCTCCACAACCTTGCCAACATTTGTTGTTTGGCTTTGGATGGTGGCGATCCTTACTGGTGTGAGGTGATATCTCATTGTCATTTGAATTTGCATTTCTCTTATGACTAGCGATGTGGAGCATCTTTTCATGTGTCTGTTGGCCATCTGAATTTCTTCTTTGAAGAACTGTCTATTCAGCTCCTCTGTCCATTTTTTAATTGGATTATTTACTTTTTGTTGAGGTGCGTGAGCTCTTTATATATTTTGGATGTCAGCCCTTTATTGGGTCTGTCATTTATGAATATATTCTCCCATACTGTAGGGTACCTTTTTGTTCTATTGATGGTGTCCTTTGCTGTACAGAAGCTTTTCACCTTGATATAGTCCCACTGGTTCATTTTTGCTTTTGTTTCCCTTGCCCGGGGAGATATGTTCACATCTAGTTTTTTATAAATAAAAAGTGTACAGGAGGAGCAAAGATGGCGGTGTGAGTAGGGCAGCGGAAATCTCCTCCCAAAACCATATATATTTTTGGAAATACAACAAATACAACTATTCCTAAAAGAGAGACCAGAAGTTACAGTACAACAGCCAGGCTACATCTACACCTGCGAGAACCCAGTGCCTCACAAAGGGGGTAAGATAAAAGCCACGGCCCGGTGGGACCCGAGTGCGCCACCCACCCCAGCTCCCTAGCAGGAGAGGAGTCGGAGCAGGGAGGGAGTGGGAGCCCAGGACTGCTAAATATCCAGCCCTAGTCATCCGCACTGGGAGCGTGGACACACAGTGCATTGTGCATTGGATACTAGGAAATGGAACAGTAAAACCTGCGAGCGGGTTCCCACAGCTGGTGCCCCTGGGACAAATGAAAAGTGAGTGCTTTTTGAAAGTCTTAAATGGATAGAAGCCTCACATCTGAACAGAAGCATCCTGGCACACTCAGCCGAGCAGCTGGGAATCGTGGGGAACTCTGGGCACCTAACTCCCTGGGTGGCAGCGCAGCTCTGAGGCCCCTCACGGTGATAAAAAAACCTCCCGTCCATTCCCCCTCAGAAGCTGCCCTGCCATAGTGGAGCAGCAGCCTGAGAACAGCCATACCCAAAGCAGCAGCGCAGAGCTGCCTCCGTGGCTGCCTGGGCTGCAATTAGAGGCCCTGTTGGCGCACAGCTGCCCAGCACAAGCCGCTAAGGGTCGCCATTCTCACAGGAGAAGAAGGTGACCGGCAAGCAGGAACGGACTTTGTTCTCCCAGCTGACACACACGCCAACTGCCCACGACTAACTCTTATCGCCATGAAAAGGCAGAAGAATTTGATCCAGACCAAACTAACAGAGACAACCCCTGAGAAGGAGCCTGGGAGATAGACTTAACCAATATTCCTGAAACAGAATTCAAAATAAAGGTCATAACCATGCTGACGGAGCTGCAGAGAAAAATCCAAGAGCTAATGGATAAAGTTGGGAGGGAGAATACAGAAATAAAATAATCTCTGGAAGGAGTTAAGAGCAGATTGGATGAGATGCAAGAGACGGTTAATGGAATAGAAATCAGAGCAGGAACGCAGAGAAGCTGATGCAGAGAGACATAAAAGCATCTCCAGGAATGAAACAATATTAGGAGAACCGTGTGACCAATCCAAATGGAACAATATCCGCATTATAGAGGTACAAGAAAAAGAAGAGAGAGAAAAAGGGATAGAAAGTGTATTTGAAGAAATAATTGCTGTAAACTTCCCCAAACTGGGGGAGGAAATAGTCGCTCAGACCACGGAAGCACACAGAACTCTGAACAGAAGGGACCCAAGGAAGATAACACCAAGACACATAATAATTAAAATGGCAAAGACCAAAGACAAGGACCGAGTATTAAAGGCAGCCAGAGAGAGGAAAAAAGTCATCTACAAAGGAAAACCCATCAGGCTATCAACAGACTTCTCAATAGAAACCTTATAGGCCAGAAGAGAAAGGCATGATATATTTAATGCAATGAAACAGAAGGGTCTTGAACCAAGAATACTGTATCCAGCATGATTATCATTTAAATATGAAGGAGGGAATAAACAATTCCCAGACAAGCAAAAGTTGAGGGAATTTGCCTCCCACAAACCACCTCTACAGGGTATTTTAGAGGGACTGCTCTAGATGGAAGCACTCCTAAGGCTAGATGTCACCAGAGAAAATAAAGTCATAGCAAAGAAAGCAGACCAACCAAATACTAACTAAAGGCAAAAAATAAAATCCACTACCCACAAAAGCAGTCAAAAGAAACACAAAATAGCACAGAATAAAACAACCAACATATAAAGAATGGAGGAGGAGGAATAAGAAGGGAGAGAAATAAAGAATCATCAGACTGTGTTTATAATAGTTCAATAAGTGAGTTAAGTTAGACAGTAAGATAGTAAAGAAGATAACCTTGAACCTTTGGTAAACATGAATCTAAAGCCTGCAATGGCAATAAGTACATATCTTTCAATAATCACCACAAATATAAGTGGACTGAATGCACCAATCAAAAGACACAGAGTAATAGAATGGATAAAAAAGCAAGACCCATCTATATGCTGCTTACAAGACATTCACCACAAACCCAAAGACATACACAGACCAAAAGTGAAGGGATGGAAAAAGATATTTCATGCAAACAACAAGGAGAAAAAAGGAGGTGTTGCAGTATTAGTATTAGACAAAGCAGACTTCAAAACAAAGAAAGTAACAAGACATAAGGAAGGACATTACATAATGATAAAGGGGTCAGACCAACAAGAGGATACAACGATTATAAATATATATGCACCCAATACAGGAGCACCAACATATGTGAAACAAATACTAACAGAATTAAAGGAGGAGATAGAATGCAATACATTCATTTTAGGAGACTTCAACACACCACTCACTCCAAAGGACAGATCCACCAGACAGAAAATAAGGACACAGAAGCACTGAACAACATACAAGAACAGATGGACCTAATAGACATCTATAGAACTCTACACCCAAAAGCAACAGGATACACATTCTTCTCAAGTGCACATGGAACATTCTCCAAAATGGACCACATACTAGGCCACAAAAAGAACCTCAGTAAATTCAAAAAGATTGAAATTCTGCCAATCAACTTCTCTGACCACAAAGGTGTATAAAACTGGAAATAAATTGTACATAGAAAGCAAAAAGGCTCACAAACACATGGAGGCTCAACAACATGCTCCTAAATATTCAATGGATAAACGACCAAATCAAAATAGAGATCAGGCAATATATGGAAACAAATGACAACAACACAGAGCCCCAACTTCTGTGGGATGCAGCGAAAGCTTTTTATGAGGAAAGTATATAGCAATCTAGGCCTATTTAAAGAAGGAAGAATGATTCCAAAAGAATAGTCTAAAGTCACAATTATCAAAATTGGAAAAAGAAGAACAAATGAGGCCTAAAGTCAGCAGAAGGAGGGACATAATAAAAGATCAGAGAAGAAATAAATAAAATTGAGAAGAATGAAACAATAGAAAAAAATCAATGAAACCAAGAGCTGGTTCTTTGAGAAAATAAACAAAATAGATAAGTGAGACTTATTAAGAGAACAAGAGAATCAATCAGCACACATCAACAGAATCAGAAATGAGAAAGGAAAAATCATGACGGACCCCACAGAAATACAAAGAATCATTAGAGAAAACAACGAGAATCTATATGCTAACAAGCTGGAAAACCTAGAAGAAATGGACAACTTCCTAGAAAAATAGAACATTCCAAGACTGACCAAGGAAGAAACAGAAAATCTAAACAGACCAATTACCAGCAATGAAATTGAAGCGGTAATCAAAAAACTACCCAAGAGCAAAGCCTCCAGGCCAGATGAATTTACCGCAGAATTTTATCAGACATACAGAGAAGACATAATACCCATTCTCCATAAAGTTTTCCAAAAAATAGAAGAGGGTGGAATACTTCCAAACTCATTCTATTAATCTAGCATCACCCTAATACCAAAACCAGACAAAGACCCCACCAAAAAAGAAAATTACAGAGCAATATCCCTGATGAGCGTAGATGCAAAAATACACAACAAAACATTAGCAAACTGAATTCTAAAATACATCAAGAGGATCATACAGCATGATCAGGTGGGATTCATCTCAGGGATACAAAGATGTTACAGCATTCGAAAATCCTTTAACATCATCCACCACATAAACAAAAAGAAAGACAAAAACCACATGATCATCTCCATAGATGCCGAAAGGCATTCGACAAAATTCAACATCCATTCATGATAAAAACTCTCAACAAAATGGGTATAGAGTGCAAGTACCTCAACATAATAAAGGCCATCTGTGATAAACCCACAGGCCGCATCAAACTGAATAGCAAGAAGCTGAAAGCTTTTCCTCTTAAGATTGGGAGCAAGACAGGGATGCTCACTCTCCCCACAAATAGTTCTAAAATTCATATGGAACCACCTAAGATCCCAAATAGCCAAAGCAGTCCTGGGAAAGAAGAATAAAGTGGGGGGGCATCTCGCTCTCCAACTTCAAGCTCTACTACAGAGCCACAGTAATCAAGACAATTTGGTACTGGCACAAGAATAGAGCCACAGACCAGTGGAACAGAATAGAGACTCCAAACATTAACCCAAACATATATGGTCAATTAATATACGATAAAGGAGCCATGGACATACAATGGGGAAATGACAGCCTCTTCAACAGCTGGTGTTGGCAGAACTGGACCAGCTACATGTAAGAGAATGAAACTGGATCATTGTCTAACCCCATACACAAAAGTAAATTTGAAATGAATCAAAGACCTGAATGTAAGTCATGAAACCATAAAACTCTTAGAAAAAAACATAGGCAAAAATCTCTTGGACATAAACATGAGCAACTTCTTCATGAACATATCTCCCCGGCAAGGGAAACAAAATAAAAAATGAACAAGTGGGACTATGTCAAGCTGAAAAGCTTCTGTACAGCAAAGGACACCATCAATAGAACAAAAAGGCATCCTACAGTATGGGAGAATATATTCGTAAATGACAGATCCAATAAAGGGTTGACATCCAAAATATATAAAGAGCTCATGCACCTGAACAAACAAAAAGCAAATAATCTATTTTAAAAATGGGCAGAGGAGCTGAAGAGACGGTTCTCCAAAGAAGAAATTCAGATGGCCAACAGACACATGAAAAGATGCTCCACATCACTAGTCATAAGAGAAATGCAAATTCAAACCACAATGAGATATCACCTCACACCAGTAAGGATCGCCACCATTCAGAAGACAAACAGCAAGAAATGTTGGTGAGGTTGTAGAGAAAGTGGAACCCTCCTACACTGCTGGTGGGAATGTAAATTAGTTCAACCATTGTGGAAAGCAATATGAAGGTTCTTCAAAGAGCTCAAAATAGAAATTGCATTTGACCCAGGAATTCCACTTCTAGGAATTTATCCTAAGAATGCAGCATTCCAGTTTGAAAAAGACAGATGCACCCCTGTTTATCAAAGCAGTATTTAGAATAGCCAAGAAATGGAAGCAACCTAAGTGTCCATCAGTAGATGAATGAATAAAGAAGATGTGGTACATATACACAGTGGAATATTATTCAGCCTTAAGAAGAAAACAAACCCTACAATTTGCAACAACATGGTTGGAGCTAGAGGTTATTATGCTCAGTGAAATAAGCCAGGTGGCGAAAGACAAGTACCAAATGATTTCACTCACATGTGGAGTGTAAGAACAAAGATAAAAGTGAAGGAACAAAACCGCAGCAAAATCATAGAACCCAAGAATGGACTAACAATAATCAAAGGGAAAGGGGACTGGGGAGGATGGGTAGGAAGGGAGGGATAAGGGGGGGAAGAAAAGGGGCATTACGATTAGCATGTATAATGTTGGGGGAAGGCATGGGGAAGGCTGTGCAACACGGAGAAGGCAAGTAGTGACTCTATAGCATCTTACTGCGGTGATGAACAGTGACTGTAATGGGGTTTGTGGGGGGAACTTGGTGAAGGGGGGAGCCTAGGAAACATAATGTTCCTCATGTAATTGTAGATTAATGATACACAAAAAAGTGTAGACAAAATGTTTCATTAGCTAAGAATTAACTTACTTAGGTAGTATGGAGAACTTGAATTCTAGAGAATTTGCTTCTTTATGCTAAATGGCCACTAATTATCAGAGCTTCTTGTGAAATAGATCATTGGATACATTAATCATTTAATAAATGTATTCTCATACCTCATCTATAGTATGATATCTTGAAATTCATTGTTTCTAAGTTGACCACCCTTACACATGTAATTACACTAGTAATATTGAGTTTGCATCATTTGCTAATAGGTTAAGCAAAATACTTTTTAATAATAGTAAGCACTGTTAATCTATTTGGAAATTATTTCTTACTGTCATATTTAAATCCCAGCTTTTATTTGTTATACTTTTTTCCCGACAACTTTTACAATCAGTTTTAAGTGATTTAAACAATAGTAATGAAATAGTAGGAGGTTGGAGGGTAAAGTAATTTCTCTGTATAATGAAAAGTAAGTACTTTTTTAGAGACACTAAATATTTGGGTCTAGAAAGCTCACATTTTGCAAGCCAGCTTATCTTCTGTTTCTTGAAAGGATCTGTTAACTTGTTAAATTAGTCTACAGTGGGGCAGCTTTTAGCTAGATATGTGACAAAGGATCTGATAAACGAAACATGTTTTAGATGCTGAAGAAGAACCTACTTGAGAGAAATGAAATGTCCATGAGTATTTTTTACTACTTAAGAAATTATTGTTCAAGTAAACCAAATAAAAAGGGAAGTCCTTATGCTTCCTTTCTAATATGAACTCTTAGATGTTTTTGTGAGTCTGTAAAATCTATGGTTCATAATTTGATCTGCAGTAAAATTCTGTAGTGGAACATGCTTATAAAGGACATGAATTTAGACTGGTCTCTAAAGAATACTGTTCACTTTAGAGCATTAAGGACCCTTGTACTTTTGTTTGTTTTAATTGCCTTTTATTGAAAATTGCTGTTTTTCTAAATGACAAATCTTTGACTTTCAGGGAAAGGCGTAGGAGGAGGAGCAGGAGTTCTTCTAGATCTCCAAGAATATCAAAAGCCATAAAAAGGAAATCATCTAGGTCTCCATCCCCCAGGAGGTAGGTTAAAAGGCCAAAACTAAGGAGGTAGCAGGAGAAAAAAATTCTCGTTGATTTGTTATTTAAACTTTCTTTTTTGAATAAGTAATATGTATGTATTGCCTGGTTTAGAAATCAAAACAGTATAAAAAGTTACACATCAGTAGGTCTTGATGTACCCAAATCTATTCTGTTCCTGTAAGTAATGATTCCTAGTTTTGTATATAGATACAAAATTAGAGTATATAACTTTTTTCCCATCTTACACAGAAGGTAGCAAAAAATATGCTCTTGTATACTTACTTTTGTCACGTAACTACCAGAAGATCTTCCCATATATGTGTGAGAATGTGGCTTCGTTCTTTTTTATAATTGCATGGACCTCATCATATGGCAATACTTTGTTTTATTTAAATAGCCTGCACTAGAATGGGTTTTCTTAATTTTCCTATTGTAAATTATCAAATGCTGAATGCATAGCTTTGGACTTAAATTATTTTATTGTGTGCAAGTAAAGTATGCAGGAAAATCTTCCAAAAATGATATTTTTGACCAGAGGTTTTTACAATATTTTTGTAGTAGTGAGAGAGAATTCCACTATTGCCCTACGAATTGGCAGCAGTTTGTACTTTAACCAGCTATGTATGAGAGTACTTGTTTCTCTACAGCTACAACAGATGATGCTAGCAGAAGCTGCCGATTTTTGTCCATCTCATAGATGAGAAATAGTATCAGTATATAGTAATTTTAGTTGCATTTTCTTAAGAGTGAAGGTGACCAACTCAAATGTATTTGAAGGCCATTTGTATTTCCTTTTCTGTAAATTGTCTGTATACTTTGCCCATTTTTCTTTGGAGTGAGTTTTTTAAGTCTAAATTTTCTTTCTTTCTGGGACTCTCTTGTATTAGGGAGATTATTCTTCAGTGATTTCAAGTATCCTAGTTTATCATTTCTTTATAGAAATTGTTTATGGACTTGATTTTACAAAGTTTTTGATTTTTATGTTAACTTCTTTTTCTTTCATGACTTCTAGATTTTGAGTTACAAAGTTAACAAAGGTCTTCCCTATTTCAAGGTTATAATGAATTCCCTCATTGTTTCTTGTACTCTTATGGTTTTGTTTTTTACATTTAAATCTTTGATCCAAAAAGAGTTTATCCTAATGTACAATGTAGCATATGGGTCCCATTTTATTTTATTTTTCAATTGTCTCTTTATTGTTTCAATACCATTTATTACAAACTCAGTTTTTCTGTGTTGGGAAAACTGGATAGCTACATGCAAGAGAATGAAACTGGATTACTGTCTAACTCCATACACAAAAGTAAAGTCAAAATGGATCAAAGACCTATATGTAAGACATGAAACCATAAAACTCTTAGAGGAAAACATAGGCAAAAATCTCTTGAATATAAGCGTGAGCAGTTTTTTCCTGGACATACCTCCTTGGGCAAGGGAAATAAAAAATGAACAAATGGGACTACATCAAACTAAAAATCTTCTGTACAGGAAAGGACACCAGCAGCAGAACAAAAAGGCATCTTACAAACAAAACAGCAGCAGACCAACAGACTTCAAGATGGGACTAGCTGTTAGGTTACCAAAGGGGAGGGGTTGGGGAAGGGGGGTGGCGAGGGAGGGAGAAGGGGATTGAGGGATATTATGATTGGCACACATGTTGTTGGGGGGATCATGGGGAAGACAGTGTAGCACAGAGAAGGCAAATAGTGTCTCTGTGGCATCTTACTACACTGATAGACAATGACTGCAATGGGGTATGGGGGCAACGCAATAATATGGGTGAATGTAGTAACCACATTGTTTTTCATATGTAACCTTCATAAGAGTGTATATCAATAATACCTTAATAAAAAAATTTAAAAAGGCATCCTACATACAGTAAGGGAAAACATGTTTGTAAAATGATTTATCTGATAGGGGTTAATGTCCAAAATGTATAAAGAACTCATATGTCTCAACACCAGAAAAATAACCCAATTAAAAAGTGGCTTTTTCCAGTTTATTATTTCCAATAATATGGGTTACTGTTGAGCAAGAAACCAATATAAGAAATATATTTCTTCCAAAGAAGAAAAAAACAGCCAACAGGCATATGAAAAGATGCTCCACATCACTAATGAGCAGGGAAATAAATGCAAATTAGAACCACAGTCATACACCACCATGCACCAGTTAGAATGGTCACCATATGAAAGACAAGATATAAGTGTTGGTGAGGATGTAGAGAAAAGGGCACCCGCCTACACAGCTGGTGGGAATGTAAATTGGCATAGCCACTGTGGAAAGTAGTATGGAGGTTCCTCAAAAAATGAAGAATAGAATACATCTAGGAATTTACCAAAAAACCCCAAATCCCTGATCCAAAAATATATATGTATCACTATGTTTATCAGTGCGTTATTTACAATAGCCAAGTTATGGAAGCAAACTAAATGTCCATCAACAGATGAATGGATAAAGAGAATGGTGCATATACACAGTGGAATATTATTCAGCCATGTAAAAGAAATCTTGCCATTTGAAACAACATGGATGGAGACCTAGAGGGTATTATGCTCAGCAGAATAAGCCAGGTGGAGAAAAACGAATACCATATGATTTCATTTACGTGTGGAATCTAAAAACAAAACAAGATGAACAAAATGTCAGTATATTCATAGACACTGAGAAGTGACTGGTGGTTAACATGGGGTGGGGTGGGAGAATGAGGGGAATAAAGGGGCACAAAAATTCTCACAATATCAGCTGGTCGTTGAGATAGTAATACAGCATGGAGAACGTAGTCGATTTTGTAATATTTTCCTATGTTGACAGTAGTTGTACTAGTGGGGATGAAGTGGGGGTTGAGCAAGAAACCAATATAAGATACCAGTGATACTTCGATTAAAAAACTCAGTTTTTCTAACACAAATTTGGTATGTTGCCTTTGTCATATACCAAATTTTTCTGTTTGGGTTTATTTTTGGGCCTTCTGTGCTGTTGGATTGGTTTTATGATTAGAGTACCAGTGCCCCCTGCTTTTAATCACTCAGATTATATACTATTTTTTAATGTGTAGTAAGGCCTGTTCTCTCCTTCACCTCCATTGCTCTTTGAGCTTTCTGACCATTCTTGTATGTTTTTCCATTTGAATATAGTAAGAGTCAGTTGTCTAGGTTCTAGAAATTAAACCTGTTGACAATTTGTGTTACAGTTGCATTAAATTTGTTAATTAGGGAAAATTGATAAATAGATTTATTAATAAATAAAGCTTTATGATGGTGAGTCTTCAAATCCAGAAATGCGATATATCTCCTTATTCAGGCCATCCTTAGTGTTTCTAAGGAATGCTTCAGTGTTTATTTCATACAGATTTTTTCTGTTTATTCCTAGGTTTACTTTTTTGTTGCTTTTGTAAATGAGGTCTGTCTTTCCTTATGTCATCTGGTTGAGCATAGGAAGGTTACTGATTTCTGTATATTTATTTTTTTAGCCTGTTAACCTAACTGATTGGTCATAGTTTTTTGGTTGGTTTTCTAGGTGTACCAAAGAGAAATTTATAAAAAGCCTTGCTGGAGTGTAAGGAGCATGTTTTCCAGCATGGATCCTCTATTTATTTGTCTTTTTGTTTATTTGTTTTTAGGTGTGAATAATGGAAAGCATAGGATGTAGAGGTAGACCATATTTGTATATTAAAAAAAAAGTATTTGGCTGATGAAAGTAAAACTTCTCGAAGTTGTGAACTCAGATTAGACAAAAATATATTCACATTGTCACTCCATCTGTTTCTTTCGCCTTACTCCCCATTCACCCTCTGTAAATGATCACTTTGTTTTTGCAAACTTAAGCATATACATACATTTGAATTTCTCCTTCACAGAAGACAGCATGCTATGCGTATATACACATGCATACTTTGTGTATACTCGGTGACTATACCCAGTCCTACCTCTAAACTGAGGATAATACACATATTATAAACTTCACCCTTTAAAATTTTCATTTCAGTGGTTTTTTTTAGTATGTTCGCACCAACCATCATTGCTAACTTTATTTCAGAACGTTTTTTGTCACTTCAAAAGAAAGCCTGTACCCATTAGCAGTTACTTCTCACAGCTCTTGGCAGTTGCTAATCTATCTATTGTCTCAAGTTGCCCGTTTTGGACATTTCATATAAATACTCATTTAATGTGTGTGGTCTTTTGTGTCTGGTTCTTGGACTAATATAATGTTTTCAAGGTTCATGCATGTTGTAGCATGGATCGTATTTCCTTTTTATCCATTGTATAGATGAAATTGTGTTTTATTTATCCATTCATTAATTGATGGACATTTAGTATTGTTTCCATTTTTTGGCTGTTGTGACTAATGTTGCTATGGACATTCAGGTATAAGTTTTTGTTTGGACACATGTATGCATTTCTCACAGGCATATACTGAAGAGTGGTAATACAGTAACATTCTAGTTTTGTGAGAAACTGCCAAACTGGTTTTCCAAAACAGTGGCTGTGCCATTTTACATTTCTGTTAGCAGTGTATGATGGTTCCACTTTTTCCACATACTTACTGACACTTAGTTATTATCTGTCAGTTATTATCAGTCTGTGATTGTAGTCATTTGAGTGAGTGTTTTTGATTTTCATATCTCTCATGATTAGTGATGTTGAACATCTTTTCATGTGCTTATTAACCATTTGTATGTCTTTGGAGAAATGTCTACTCATTTTTGCCCATTTTTAATAGGGTCATTTGCTGTTAAGTTGTAGGAATTCTTTATATTCTGGATATTAATCCCTTACCAGATAAATGGTTTACAAATATTTTTCTCCAATTCTGTGGGTTGACTTTTCACTTTCTTAATAGTATCCTTTAATGCACAAATGTTTAATTTTGATGAAGTCAAATTTATCTATTTTTTTTTGTGCTTGTACTTGTTGTCATATCCAAGAAATCATTGCCAAGTCCAGTGTCATGAAGATTTGATTTTCCCCTGTGTTTTCTTTGAAGAGTTCTGTAGTTTT